CAAGCAGGCCCGGCCCCTGCCGAACGGAGTTGCCGGCGCAGCGAAGTGGAGCTGGCCACTCCGTTTGGCGGAAGGGCGGGCCTGCTTGTTTTTTACGGGCTTTGGTGGGGGTTGTTTTAAAATGACGATTCGTCAAATTTGACCCCCAAAACATCAAAATTGTACAAGAAAACTCATATAAACACCCACCCAAAGACACCCTTTTCTCGGGTTTTCAGGCAAATTACGCCCAAACTATAGCTTCGCCTAAAAACTAGACGAACAACAACATTTTTCAATTCAAAAATCCTATCAAATGAACCTATTTGCACGTATGTGCACCCAATGGTTGTCAAAAACAGTTTTCTGATCGGCCACCTCGGCACCCCTATGCCAAGAGCACATCCTTCCCTCGACTTGAAAGCCCGAAAGTGACTTTTCGATGAAACTCCGATATGACTAAAAATACGGTTCTGAAACTTTTATGAAACGATAAAGGAACAAATTATTGTCACTTTAAACTTTATAATATTCTTTGTAGGTCAAATATCTTCACCACAAATATCATTTTAAAAGTATGGTATGCTGCTGCGCGGGTTGCCTACCCATTCTTCCTCTAAGGCGCCATGCACAGCAGTCATGTACATAGAACCAAGAATAACCAATTTATTCGGCTGAATTCCTACTTTTTTTAATTTGGAAGACTTTATTGTTTAGACTAAAACTGATTGAACCATTGGAACATAGCCAGTTATGAATCAACATATCAGCACATTCTCATTATTAGTCAAGATTTGTTTTATTAACTTTTATACACTAAAACTTTACACATCCACAAAGTTATTGTAGAAAGATTATCGATGAAATTGTGAGCACATTTCAATCAGTACCTTGTTGTGAAATCAAAAGCTGTCAAGTGTGAAGGAGTAAAATTAATTGGCCTCAGAGGCTGCCGTACTTTTCGTTAAATGTCTCTAGTTGCTTTATCATTTCTGCAGACACTAATTTTGAAGTTTCATTGATACTTTCTAGGAAGTCATCCAGATTTATGGGGCGAACCTAAGCAAGGGAAGAACACATGTTAACAAGCAGGCCCGCCCTTCCGCCAAACGGAGTTGCCAGCTCCACTTCGCTGCGCCGGCAACTCCGTTCGGCAGGGGCCGGGCCTGCTTGGCCTGCCGGCGGCGATGGTCGGGCCTTCGGCCCGACTATTTCAGTCCCACGGTTTCCTGTAGTGCATAACTAGGTAGATGTACGCCAGACCACGTCTCGCGTAACAGGCTTCGCGATATCTCACGAAACACTGTTACGCTGCGACGCGCCTGGCATAC